TTTGAAACCCCGCGAGACGCGGATCTCCGCCGGACGGACGGCGGGGAACCAGCTGCTTCAACGCCGGCTGGAGATAGTCGCCGATGGTCGCTGCCGGTGTGTCTGTGGTGGCGGTAGTGGGCCTCTCCAGATGTTCTTCCATGGCGCCTTGATCCGCCGAGGAGGGGGCGGCGCTGGTGAAGGCAGAGGCGCCGGAGATGATGATCGAGGGGCCGGGGTGGAGGTCACCGTCGCCGGAGAGATTCGTAGCGAGGTGGGTTCGGCATCACCAAGTTCCTCGCACTCCGGTCGATATCCGAATCGAATACCAAAATTTGCCAGCGCGTTGATCTTGATCCGCACCGCTAGGCTCAGTCGCTGTTATCTTCCTCAACGCACGTTGTGTCACCGGGGCAATCTTCACGGATGGCATCCTCCATGCCAGGGAGGTCACGGGGCGGTGAGATGTGGCCACCGCCGGCTTGCCGGCGGTCGCCGCTCCACAGCCGTTGGAAGCAGGTTGAACGCTGCCGTGAGTGTTGGAGACACAAGAGATGTATTAGACAAGAGTAAAGACCAAATGATCGGCTCACCCTGGAGCGATTCTTGCTGCACCAGGAAGCTATAGCGACAGCTGAATGGCCGGGCTGCACCTGAGACTGTGACAGGTTGCCCATGTTATGCAATGCAAGGGCGATTACGTGCACGAAGAGAGGAACAGTAGTGGTGGACAGTGAACGACTGGACGTGGACTGCACAGACTGATGGAGAGGTTTTGGCCGCGAGCACAAGCACAACCCGGAGAAAGAGTTTGACGGATTGAAGTACAATGACCAGCAGACGATGGATTCGTTTGTCAAAATTAGAGATGTCAACAGGTATATACGAAAACCATTTTACCCTATTAGAGCAAGGATATAGACTAATGTCTCTACCCATAATAGGTTTTTAATGGACAAAAATCCAGACCAAGTGGATTTGTGGGTGTGGGTCTGAGGGTGTAGTACGCAAACCTGTAAACCTATAGTTTTTAAAACCGTGGTCTATCATAGAAGAGTAGCTCATTTTAGTCCACAATACTCTAATTTTTTCAACTAGATTGATCCACTTAGAGATGTATATAAGACGGTCTTCCCATTCCAAACCTTAGCTTAGCTCACTTCTTCCCTCCTCATGCAATCCAGCCATACTACGGTGGCAGTGGCACGTATCTAGATCATGCATTGACTAAGGTTCTGACCATATATATATATATATATATATATATATATATATATATATATATATATATATATATATATATATATATATATATATATATATATATATATATATATATATATATATATATATATATATATATAGGGTAAGGCTATTTTGCAGCTGGCCATAGAATAACTTATTCTATAGCCACCTTGATTTACTATAATGTTTGTACCAATTTACGAAAATATGAATATGCATTTACGATACTAGGTGTTTACTACAACTCACGGTGATATTTACCATAATGTTATAGTAAATCACTTAGTAAGGAGTTCTTTGTAGTCTCGTAAATTAGCATAGTAAATATCGTAACTCAAAGTGGCCACGAATAAGTTATTCTATGGCCACTACGAACAAGATGAACTACTATTACATATTGGCCATAGAATAACTTATTCTGTGGCAACTTTGAGTTACGATAATTACCATGCTAATTCATGAGATTACAATAACTTCTTACTAAGTGATTTACTATAACATTATCGTAAATATCACCGTGAGTTGTAATAATACGAGTATCGTAAATGCATATTCATGTTATCGTAAATTGGTATAAATATTATCGTAAATCAAGGTGGCTATAGAATAAGTTATTCTATGGTCAGCTGTAGAATAGCCTTACCCATATATATATATACACGTACTGTTCTGTAGCTGGCTGCAGAATAAGTTATTCTGTGGCCACTTTGAGTTACGATAATTACTATACTAATTTACGAGATTATGGTAACTCTCTCGTAAGTGATTTGCTATAAAATTATGGTAAGTATCATCTTGAATTATAGTAATCCATGTATCGTAAATGTGTATTGTCATTATCGTAAATTGGTACAAACATTATCATAAAACAAAGTGGCTATAGAATAAGTTATTCTGTGGCCAACTGCAGAATAGCCTTACCGTGTGTGTGTGTATATATATATATATATATATATATATATATGAACTATGGTGGTTGGATGTTGTATGATTGGTGAAATGTGATTTCTCATTTATGTTTTTTTCATTGTACTATGTAATATGTAAATATGGTTATGTTAATTATGAATATGTATTATACAACTATCTGCTTATTGGTGGTGACGTGGCTTGCTTGCGTTGCGGACACGGACGATTCGTTGGGTACCCATGACCCAAGTGGGCATGAATCGATGCACAAAACTAAACCTAGAACGGGTCATGGGTTTTTTAACAGACACATTTTGTGTTCTTGGGCATGCATGGGTTTGGGTTGGTAAAACCCGACCAATCGGTGTCCACTACCATGTCTAGTCTAAATGCATTTAGCAGTGTTCATAAATTTTGGCGTGTCAGGAGAATAGAAGTGCGTGCTTGGACTAAAGTTATAAATAATGCGACAGCTATAAAAGAAAAGAAATTTTAATATATTCAATGTGATAAGCTATAGTTGAGGTCTACCTAAAATCCAGAAAGAGAGGTTGATTGATAAGTCAGGCGACGTCTCGATAGCTAGTAGCAGTAAAGAGGCATGCGTACAACAAATGCCTGTTCACTTGACTGATAAGCCATGACTGAAAGTACTCACTACCGGAGACGGCTTCTTTACCGAGTGCTTTTTATCGGGCACTCAGCAAAGATACTGTTTACCGAGTGCCAGAGATAAAGCACTCGGCAAACAACTGACACTCGGCAAAGAGGTGGTTTACCGAGTGCTGAGCACTCGGTAAACAATAACACTCGGCAAAACTAGCTTTGTCGAGTGTTATTCTCCTGACACTCGGCAAAGGGCCGCCGCCGTTAACGGCCGGCAGCCTCCGTTAACCCTTTGTCGAGTGTCTTCTTCGACACTCGGCAAAGCGGTTATTTGCCGAGTGTCATTTTTTTTATACTCGGTAAACCATATTTTTTTTCACTTTTGACCTCCAAACTTTTTCTGCAGTCCTCATACAATACCTGGTGCTCCATGTTCCAATATGGCACATTTCTCGGACTTTTTCTATATTTCTTTAATTTATTTCATTTAATTGAATTTTCTTGGATAATTCAAATTATAACTGTTAGTCACTCGAATAATGGAAAAATGATATTCATGTTTTTTAGTATAATGTGAGGCCGTATCCAGGACCAGACCACCAATTTCGAACATCTTGTTCACGAAACATGACCACGAACTCGCGGTCGAGTTGTTTTTAAATTCTATAAAAAACAAACGAAGTCCGAAAATCATGAAACTTGTCAAGATGTCATGATATCATGTGGAGGCTGTGATAAAAATTTGAGAAGGTTTCGCGCAAGTTGTCACGTACGATGCTTGCAAACCGAAGAATCTCCGAAGAAGTTTCATGATTTCGTGAAGAGGCCGACGAGGTGGGCAAGCATCGTACGTGACAACTTGCGCGAAACCTTCTCAACGGCGCTCGGCAAAGGTCGCTGTTTGTTGAGTGTCTTGGCGGCAGCACTCGGCAGAGTGGGCATCTTTGACGAGTGTTTGAGTCAACGGCGCTCGGCAAAGAGGTGACCTTTGCTGAGTGTTTGACCTTGACACTCGGCAAAGCCGCCGTCACGATGACTTTTTTTTGCCGAGTGTCAGATTAGCACTCGGCAAAGGTTTTGCCGAGTGCCCGATAAAGTGCACTCGGCAAAGAAGTCTTTGCCGATCAACTGTTTACCGAGTGCCCTTTGCCGAGTGTAACACTCGGCAAATGCTTTGCCGAGTATATATCAGCCTTTGTCGAGTGCCCGCCTCCGGTAGTGACTATTGGCTGATTTGTTGTGAAAGAAAAATATTGTTTGTTGGCTGAAAAAATACGGCTTATAAGCCAAGCGAATAGGGGGAAAGCCATTACCTCACCCTTTTTCTTTCGGCGTGTTTTTTTAATAAAAAAAATGTCGTACTGAATTGCTTCTACTAGTACATGTCACAAGTGCTAAAGGAGATGTTGTTTTAATCAAAGAAAACCTTTGGGCGCCGCTCATCACCTCTAGTTTATCGGTTCATGAGAGAAGTCAGAGGGTGGACGATGTCGCATGCATCATCTCTACAGAAGTACTACTAGTCCGTACAGATCATACATGAGTCATCGTATATAGGTGCAGTCATGCGTGTGCGCGTGCGGCGCGCCGATGAAAGGCAAGACCAAGATGCATTTTACCTCGTCCGACTAGTATCCTGAGTGCAGACATGTGTGTACTACAGGTCAAAAGGCAGAGATCGATTGTGTTGCTAAACTATTTCTTTGCCAGCACAATCTCTGCCACTGCACAAGGACAGTCGGTGAATCATCTTCGTCGACAGGAGACGACACCACAGACCTGAACCAGAAAACAGGTCGCAGCTCAAACGACCCGGCATGGCGGCTGCCTTTGAGTTTGCACTTGCACGAACAGGGCAAGAGCAGCAACGCACGCTCAAGGCCGGTGTTGGCGAGAAACAAGCAAGGCAACAGCGAGAGGGAATTGAGACACGAAAGAGAGCGCGCGAGGACGCAAGTCAAGATTCCCCAGAGAAAAGGCGGCCACGGCAGGCACGCTTTTGGCTGCCGTGTTGCGGTGCCCCGTTATCCCCAAGCCGCTCCTGGCCGGCGTTGATCTCCTCCTCCCTTCCGCTTATATAAGCCCTCCCGGCTCCTCGAGACATAGCACCGCATGCTCGGACATACCACGCGCGGCACCACAGCTAGCCTACCCGGCCACTGTGCTCGATCTGCAGATTCACCAAGCTAGCTATACCGCCATTCCCCGAGAGAGTAGAGTCGTGTTGGCTTGGTCGATCGAGAGCCGGCCGGTCGAGCGTCATGGAGATTGATCAGATGGAGAGCGGTGCCAATGGAGCTGGCGGCGGCGGCGGCGGGTTCTGGCGGGCGCGGTGCTGGGAGCTGCTCTGCTCGGCGGCGGTCATGCTCCGGGCCAAGGTCGTCGGGTTCGCCCGCAAGCTGGCCAGGATCGCGAGGGACGACCCCCGGCGGGTGGCGCACTCGCTCAAGGTCGGCCTGGCGCTCACGCTGGTGTCCGTGCTCTACTACGTCAGGCCGCTGTTCAACAACTGGGGCGTCTCCACCATGTGGGCCGTGCTCACCACCGTCGTCGCCATGGAGTACACCGTCGGTACGTATACGTACGTCGTGGTACGGTGTTGCACATCATTTCATCGCACACAAGCAGCTAGCTAGCTAGCCGTACGTAGCCGTGTTCCGTACAAGCGAGCTATAGATATATGCTAGTAGATTATAATTAAAAAAAACTACTCCTTGTCCTATATGATGGGTTTTTGGTGCGGGTGTTCATGTGACAGGTGGCACGCTGTGCAAAGGCCTGAACAGAGCGTTCGGGACGCTGGTCGCCGGCTTCATCGCCGTCGGGGCTCACAAGGTGGCCTACCTGTGTGGCGACAAGGCAGAGCCCGTGCTGCTCGCCATCTTCGTCTTCTTACTATGTACGAAGTTACGTTTTGTGTCCATGCACGTTTGTTACCCTGCCGTGTCTGTATATGACCATTTTTACCACACCGCGTGGCCATGGTGTTGCATGCACTTGTTGCAGCGTCGGCGGCGACGTTCTCGCGGTTCATCCCGGAGGTGAAGGCGCGGTACGACTACGGCGTGACCATCTTCATCCTCACCTTCAGCCTGGTGGCCGTGTCGAGCTACCGCGTGGACGAGCTCATCCGGCTCGCGCACCAGCGCTTCTCCACCATCGTCGTTGGCGTCGCCACCTGCCTCTGCACCACCATCTTCATCTTCCCGGTCTGGGCGGGGGAGGACCTCCACAAGCTCGCCATCGGAAACCTCAACAAGCTGGCCGAGTTCTTTGAAGGTACATACCTACCACTCCATGTCTCCATCCAAAAGGTTTACAACCTCACGCACGTGTATATAACTATCTACACCATGTGTATTGTAAATTAAAACGAATTGAATTCTCATGCGTTCCATGACAAACAGTAGCGTAGTAGACCTAGGATTTCAAAGTTGGCTATGTCTTAGTCAGAGAAAAGCACTTATAATTTATGAAATCTACTGTCAACGAAGGAAGGACTTGCAAAAGAAAAGAAAGAAAAACTTCCCGTAGATTCGTAACATACTAGAGAGTTAATTTGGGACTAAAAGCTGTACACGTACGTATGCAGGAATCGAATCTGAATGCTTCAGAGAGAACGCAACATTCGAGAATTTGGAAGCTAAACCCTTTCTCCAAGTGTACAAGAGCGTCCTCAATTCCAAGGCCACCGAGGACTCTTTGGTAAGCTCACCTAACTTTGCAAACCATGCGTGCACTTTATGCAGAGCACCAAATTAAGATCCTGAATCCAAAAATTATAGAAGTAAACAATCCGACCCAATGGCATGTGTTCCCAAAACTGCAGTGCAATTTTGCCAAGTGGAAGCCTTGCCATGGCAAATTCAAATTCCGGCACCCATGGAGACAATACCAGAAGCTCGGTGCTCTTTCTCGCCAGTGCGCTTCTTCAATGGAGGCTCTTGCTTCCTATGTCATCGCCCTCACAAGAACTGAGGTAACTGCAGATCCATCTATTTCGTGATCAATGGATTACAGGACCATGTTACTCACCTACAGCCTTTCACTGCTCACAGTATACTGAAGCGCATCCGGAGCTATGCTTAGAGGTTCGAACAGCATGCCGTCAGATGAGCTTGCACTCGGCCAAGGCACTCCGAGAACTCTCAGCTGCGATGCGGATGATGACTCTACCATCCCCAGCCAACGTTCACATGTCTGCAGCAATCAAAGCAGCAAGAGGCCTCAGAGACGAACTTTCAGAGGATGCAGATCTGGTGCAAGCGATGCATGTTGCTGTTATTGCATCTCTTCTCTCAGACTTGGTTACGAAGACGAAGCAGATCACAGAATCTGTTGATATCCTTGCGCGACTTGCCCGCTTCAAAAACCCTGAAAACACTCAGAAGGATTTGGCTGTCAATGTAGTGCTTTGAGAAGCAGACAATCTTCGGTGGGACTTGACTAGTGATGTTCTATATTGGACATGGAGAATATCTGTATCAGAAGCCTTTGCTAAATGGGATAAAAGTAAGCTAGTATGAAGTACAATACTAAATGTGCATACAGCAAGTGACAAATTCTTCGTTTTATAGAAGTAATTATGATGCTGAATTGTGATGATAAATGTCACTGTCTTCCACAGTTGGATAGCAATTAGCTTTTCTCAGCAGACGAAAAAAAAAACAATCTTCTTCTAAATATAATGGAAGAACAACAATAAATTACCTCTCGATGTGTAGCAGTACTAAAGAAACAGTAAGCCAAGAATCATTATTCCAAGGTGTGATGTTAAAGTAACAGATATACGTGAAATTCCGCATAACAAATATTAATCTCATGCATGGCAGTACATATCTAGTCAAAAACAGATCTCATAACAACTCACACAAAGTTCGCCAACATCATCCCTTTCCTTATGCTAACTTTCCAACTATAAATTCTTCTTAAGATTAAATAATTCTTCAAGGAGCTGGAAATAAGAAGACGGCTTGCCGATAAGCAATAAGCGGATGTGCCATTACAACTTACAAGTGCCAGTGCATTTCATTATCAATGGTCAGGTCAGCTATGGACACAACAGTGATAAGCATGGAAAATTTGCACAAAAGAAATTAGTTAGTGGAACTTTGCACTGTCAAGCACTAAATACCAAGTTATACAGGAAACATACACACTTGCCTTTTGAGGATAGAACTTTTCAAAAGAATCTAATAGGTCATAACTCATAACCATATCAACCATCAGTTATGGGGCACAGTGCATAGCGTGCAAAATTGGCTATAATAAAGCAACTACTTAGTTCAACTATGCACTGTCAACCACTAACGCGAAGTTGCTCAGGAAACAAATAGACTGACTTTTCAAGGATAAACTTTTGAAAAGGATACAATAGACCAAAGCAATAGAAATTTCTTCAGCAGTGTATTAGTTAATTTCTATGAACTAATATGTCTCAGATTATGTGCTGGGGTTTTGGCTTTCTAACTCAAAGATCAAAGAGGTAGAATCATAGACAAAGTTGTACTCTATGCACTACTTACTGCCATGATTTGAAATGTTCGCTACTAGGCTTCATTCAAAGATCAAAGAGGTGAGCATCATACTTTAAAGTCCTAAATCCTGCAGTCAGGAGCAGCCTAAACATTTTGCCTTTCATGTACAATTCCCTAGATTATCCTAAATTAATTGTTAACATTTTATAAAACAACAAAGAATCAAGATAAAGATCATCACTGCTACAGAGGAACCTATTTCAGTAGTGTTTGATGGCATATTGTTTATCCTATATCAGTTCCACTTTTAAGTTGCCAATATGGGTCTTGGGCCACATCAGCAACTCAGCATTATGCTTTTGCTTCCTTTTGTACTTTCATACCCTTGGCTCCAGTGTACAAGCTGACATAGATAATGGGTCTTATGTATACTGGACTGTTTTCATCTATAGCACCAGAAAAAAATTGCAGAACAAAAAAAGAAGTAACAAAAACTAAATGTAGCAAAGATAAATGTGCCAGGGTCCATTTGACAATTTTGTAAACGAGGCACAGGAAATTTGAAGATTAAGGACCATAGTTAGGTTACATACCAAGTAATGGAAAGAATACCCAAGCTTCCTTGATCGAGAGAATTGCAATTTCATAGGTTAGTAAGGAAATGGAAGTACTTTTCGAATCAATAATATCTTAATTTCTCTAGTTACTGAATCTTCAGTTTGAGTATTGTTGCTTCAGCTAGTCACACCTACAGACAGCTTTTTGAACAAACTATGGCAGAGGAAACTGAAACAGGTCACAATCCTTACTGCCCTAAAAGACTCCATCAGAGTACAGGCACCGGTAATTATGTGAACTGCATAATGGTTGTATACGCATACCTCTGATGAAAGATCATTCAACTACATAACTAACCTATTTGGAGAGTGAAGAGGAATATAATTACAGTCAAAGAGTGAAACAAGACAAGTTCCTCATGGACCCTAAGAATTACCAAGACTCTACAAAAGTTCATGCTCCTGTCAGTACACGGGAACTGGATCACTTAATATGTACATACCTATGGAGAAACATCCTTCAACTATACATAGTTCAATGTGAACTGGTTCAAATCACCAGCCATATACAGGGTGTTGAACTTGAGGAGGCAGGAGGTTCAGATCAATGCACTGCTGTTTATCATAGTCACGTGTGCCAGGAATTGCTCCCGTCGCTAATCTGAGGAATTCGTTACCAGTCAGGCAGTGATGAGCAAATGCCAGTCCCCCATCCACCACATCTGACAACTTAGGAAGTAACGGTATCTTTCTTTCTTTGTTAATCTTCCCATTTCGTCCAGGGTGGCCATTTCTGTTCAGAACTTTGTCAAGCTCTGAGTACTCCATAAACCTCTCAGTTGCTGCTTCCCATGACAAACTGTATCGTTGCTCTGGGGTCAGAGGTTGAGGTTCAGTAGTCATGGCTTCTTTGACACGAGCAACAAATTCCTCTGAAGTTCTATATGTTAAGCAGTTAGGGAATGACTTAAAAAAATCGTTTGATGGATGATCTGCACAGACTACAAATTTCCCCATTGCAAGGGCCTCAGCTGTTGCTGTGCATAGCACATCACTAACACTTGGATTGACGAAAACCTTATACCTGAAAATTCAACAGAAGAAAACAGATACCAGTATCAGCAATCTGCATAGGACAAGACAAAGATGAAAGTGAACTCCTTTTAGTAGCTTCGATGCTTCATAGAACCTTACCCATGGAGTGAATCATCTGCATGGTCCTTTCCCTTGAAAAAATTGATGCTCAAATCAAATTTTCTAGCAGCATTCTGGACAGCTTCAGAGTCCTCGCCATTTCCATATACATCTATCATGAATCCTTCCAGGTCGTTTTTATGTTTGGATAATAAATCGATCAGCTCTATATAACCTTTAGCCCACACCATCTTACCAAGGAAATATGCTCCCTTAGAAAAGACCTTCTGTCCACACTCCCTATCAGCTGCTATTTTCTCACCAACATTAAGAAACTTTGGATTTACACCATGTACGTTACAAACAACAGACCTCGGTAGATCTTGAGTTGCAGCAGAAAGACGTAAAACCTGCATGCACCCATTATTAGCTGAGTTCTCATGAACAGGACTTTAACACAAAAACTGACCTAAACAAATACCTTATGGCAGTATGCTCTAGTCACCCAGTTATTGATATGTTTAACAAGAAAAGATTGAATAGCACCATTTTTCTCTCTCTTGATATATTCCAGGTAATTTGTATGAACTACACCGATGACGTGATTGAACTTGTCAGTCCAACGCTTTCCATGATGATACCAGTTGAGATGCTCCGGTTCTTCTAAAATCGCTATATCAGCTTCTTTTGAGGAGATGAACTGTGAAGTATCCCCAGCAGGAATAATGCTGCGGCGCTCTTTTGAGAACTGCAGAAATAACATCTCATGAGTAATGAAATCCCAGGGGAAGAAAAAAAAATACTATACTAGGACGCAGAACATAAACAGTGGGATCAGAAAGATTGTGTGTTTACCTTGCCAGGATAAAAGGATATCTTAAAATTTGCTTCAAAGCCAATTCTTTCCTGCAGCCAGTTCCTTATATAAGTTTCTTGCTCTTCTGGCGAACTGAAGGTGATGTTATTTGGGTAAACCAATTCTTGATCTGACTTAGAGAGCCATGGAACCACCAATGTCACCTTCTGCTTTGCACTTCTTGCCAGATATGCAGCACGAAACAATGGATTGATTGCTGTTCCTGTCATCCATGGAAGGCTTGCTGTGGTGACAATAGCAACATGCCGTCTGTTGTCTGAGATCTTGTACTTTGCAGGGTCATTCCAAGAACCTTCATCTGTGTGATAACCAGTACTTTCTAATACCCTAGCTATTCTTAGATCAAGCTCGTCAGTTATGTTCTCAGCTAAGGGTCTATCCTGTGAAAGAGAATGATACATGAGCCGACCGTTTCGTTTACTGCATAACATCTCCACTAGTTTGTCACAAAGGTCTGCACCATAATATTAGTAAGAATAAGATGGTCAGCAACAAGTACAAAGACTGGAGAGTCCAAACAAGCAAATGATGTTCATACCTCTCCGTATGCCAAGTTGATCTAAAAATGGCCCAGATTGCCGAACCAGATATGCCACAATTTCAGTTAGATGCAGTGGTGGAACTTCCTATTCCAGCAGCAGATTAGAACAACACACTCTAAACAATAAGCAACCAGATCAACTAGCATAAGAAACTGCATTATCAGTTAATAATCAAAAGCCCTGAGAAAAGGTCTGCTTTTGTAAAGGCTTGAAAGCTACTTGTACTAAAGATAAAGAAGTATTTTGGCTCCATTGACATCTTATGCAAACTGCTTAGTAAGCATCAATACTTTCTACGGCATCATTGTTTTCTGGAACAGGTTACGTTACAAAACGAAATTATGTCCTTAAAGTACTGCAGGTATATCTAGTATAAGCTTGCAGTTTGCAAAAATGATATACAACTATGCATATGGAATCTAGCTACGTCAGAATAAGTAACAGGGAAAATGTATCCCAATTCAATCATTAGCTGTTCTATATCTGCAGCACACAGAATATTTCCAGCTATTATAAATTGTTTCTTATGCAATTACCTTGGATTCCTGATAATCCTTGTTCAGTGATTTCTGAAAAAGAGGAAAAGGATTCATATTAATCTGTAATACTTTCATCAACACCAGACATCAACTCTAGCATAGTGTAACTCAGTAACATGATAGCATCATTTTTTGTTAAAGACCCAATTGCTGACAAAAATCACCAAATACTTGTCTGATAACAAATAGTTGACCTATAAGATTTTGAACTCTGCTAATAAAGTGATCACTAAGCTAAGTGTACTCCAGGATGACTTTTCAGTAATATTTTTTAAATATATCTAGATTGATG